ATCTGATGAATCTGCCGTTTGAACGAATCGTTTGAATGAACGACTCAATGAATCACTCATTAAACGCTCACTACTGGCACCTACTGGCGTTTTAATTTAGTTGAAAAGTATCATTTCCACGATAATTTCTTGTTTGTATATTAAAAAATATTTAAAATAATCTCATAATAATTATTTAATGCAGTTGTATTTTTCAGTGTCAATTGAATTTATAGATCAAATATAAGAATTTGAAATGAAAGTATTAATGAGATTAGTGGGAATAGAATAAATCATTTGCACAAAAAACTAATTATTATTTTTTAGATAATGTAATCTTGTTCAAATAGATTTCATAAAATTGGTATCGAAAAATGTATTGTTCAGGAACCGGTATCGAAGTCAAGGTATCGGTATCGATATCGAAAATGTTTGAACGATACCCAGCCCTACTGCTGAGGTGGTATGGAAGCCCAAGTTTCTTTGACAGTTGACATTTTTTGGTCTCTTGTTTCTCATTTTCCTCTTGACAATACCCCATAGATTCTATATGGGGTTCAAGTCTGGTGAGTTTGCTGGCCAGTCAAGCACACCTACACCATGGTCATTTAACCAACTTTTGGTGCTTTTGGCAGTGTGGGCAGGTGCCAAATCCTGCTGAAAAATGAAATCAGCATCTTCAAAAAGCTGGTCAGCAGAAGGAAGCATGAAGTGCTCCAAAATTTCTTGGTAAACGGGTGCAGTGAAGTTGGTTTTCAAAAAACACAATGGACCAACACCAGCAGATGACATTGCACCCCAAATCATCACAGACTGTGGAAACTTAACACTGGACTTCAAGCAACTTGGGCTATGAGATTCTCCACCCTTCCTCCAGACTCTAGGACCTTGGTTTCCAAATGAAATACAAAACTTGCTCTCATCTGAAAAGAGGACTTTGGACCACTGGGCAACAGTCCAGTTCTTCTTCTACTTAGCCCAGGTAAGATGCCTCTGACGTTGTCTGTGGTTCAGGAGTGGCTTAACAAGAGGAATAAGACAACTGTAGCTAAATTCCTTGACACGTCTGTGTGTGGTGGCTCTTGATGCCTTGACCCCAGCCTCAGTCCATTCCTTGTGAAGTTCACTCAAATTCTTGAATCGATTTTGCTTGACAATCCTCATAAGGCTACGGTTCTCTCGGTAAATTCAATTTTTTAAAATTTACATACAAATATTTATAATATTTCTTACAAGTAAAATATTCATATTAGTATTTATTATATATATATATATATATATATATATATATATATATAAATAATTTTATTTTTAAAATTTTTTTTACAAAAAAATACATTATTTTAATTTGTTATAAAATGTAGCAAGTATAAAACTAATGTAACAACCGGAATTCATCATAATTGCAATTTTGCCTATGAAGACGCTAAATATTTCTGATTGATTAATGATTATGAAGCCATTCAAAATTATGATTCTCAAATTTTTCTTGCATTTTCAACATTTCACATTTATGTTAGCAAGCTAGATAATGTAACATTTAAATCACAATTTGCAACAACAGTATAACAAAAAAATGGCAAGACAAATGCATGTACAACATCAATGAATGTAAGATTTAGTAAATCAGCACTGGCCTGAAACTTCACCATATTATTGAGTGCTTCTTTGACATTATTGTACCCAATATGAATTGAGAGCCTAACTAAGTATATATATATATATATATATATATATATATATATATATTTTTT